CTGCTCTGACAGGGATCACAATGGAGGGTCCCAGACAGAGCTGGAAAAACATGTAGAACAAAATTCTAACTCACAAAAAAAGACCAGACTTACTGGTCTGACAGAGATTGGAGAAGTGCCAAGAGTATGGCCCCGGGACACTGTTTTAGCATAGTAATGAAGTCACTCCTGAAGTTCACCCTTCAGCCAAAGATTAGACAGGCCCATAAAACAAAACGAGACTAAGTGCGCACACCAGCCCAGGGACAAGGATAAGAAGGCAGGAGGGGAGAGGAAAGCAGGTAATGGGGATCCCAAGGTCGAGAAGGAGAGAGTGTTGACATGTCGTGGGGTTGGCAACCAATGTCACAAAACAATATGTGTATTAACTGTTTAATGAGAAACTAATTTGCTCTGTAAACCTCAATCTAAAGTACAATAAAATAAATCTGCACGGTGAACCTGGAGGGCAGTAGAAGCTGGTCTGAGATTAAACATTTGCTCCAAAATAATCCATGAACTGGAAAATCTGCTCACAGGTATTTGAGTGTTGACTGGTTTCAGCTTTCCCTCACTAGACCTTTCAGTGACCTGCTCGAAAGAGGCAGAATTGCCGATTTCCATTTCCTTCTCCCTTTTTCAGAGCACCTGTAAGCAGATGCTAAGAAGTGGGCCTAGGCAGAGGAGCACACGAGGAGAAGCAGAGTGTTCTAACAGCCTGCACTTGCAGGAGCTGAGAAGGGGGCTGGTGGGCTGGCTGCTCCTCATCTGCCGGACTGGATGAACTCTGCCTAAGGCAAGCCCAGAGCTCCCCGTTTTCCCTGGGAGGCACCGTCTTTGCACACAGAGCTTTGACCTTCCATGAGCCCTGGGTGCAGGCCGGGGTGCCCAGAGTCAGTTTGTTGTCTTCTGTTCTCACTGGGCTCATACATAGCAACCACCATGAAGATGGCACAGGACTGGGCAATGTTTTGTTCTGTTACACATAAGGTCGCCGTGAGTCAGAGCCGACTTGATGGCAGGCCAACAACAGCAAAAGATTAGAACTAGACACTAGTTCAGTAGTGCCAATATAATAACGGTAGACACATGACCTTATGCGTTTGTCAATATCCATAGAACACAACGCAAAGAGTGAACCCTGATGTTAACTATGGACTTCAGTTAATAATAGTGCATCAGTACTGGCTTATCAGTTGTAACAAACGTACCACACAATTGCAAGATATTAATAATTGGAGAAACTGTGCGGGGGGTGGTGAGAGGGTATATGGGAACTCTGTACTTTCTGAGCAGTATTTCTGTAAACCTAAAACTCTTTAAAAAAAGTGTATTTAAAAAGAAAATCTTCTTTATGATTTTTTAGATACATGTGTGGATTTGAAGCCAGTTAGTCCTAGAATTCATGCTCTACTCCACCAACTAGTTTTAGGCAAATTATTCATCTCTCTGAGGCTTAGTTTCTTCCCCTGAAGGATGCGGCAAGTAATCCAACCTCTCAGGATTTGGACAGCAGTAGACACTCAATAAATCAGAGTATTCATGGATGGTGCCTTCTCCAGCCCTCGGATCTTTCAGCGCTCTATCCTAACAATTACCAGACCTGATCCCTTCTCTGCTCTTCTCTCACTTTCAGAGGTTTCTCTCAGTGGTGTGCTGGTAAATGTTTAACACTGAGCTCTCTGAGAGACAGAGAAAAAAAAAGTCATGCATGCTTTCTAGTGTTTGCCGATTTACAATTTACATAGTTTAAATTCTCTCCCTAGGGCTGATTTCAAGCTATCAATGAACACAGAGCTGGGAAGAGATGCACACATGGACTTGCCAGTCAGTGTGAGCCGGCTCCAGCATACTACTGCAATTTTAGATCTTTTTTGCTAGCACTTTCTCCCTGTAATTTTGTTAATGTTCTTAAGTCTGTTTTCTATCCTGAGTGCCCTGTTCAAACCAGAATCACTAAAAGCAGGGCATTTTTCCCCTTATTCCTACCAGATACTCCCTCTTCACTTCACACTGTTTGCTGAAAAGCTGCCCCCTCTCGGCTAGTTTGGAGCCCTGGGTGGTGCAAACAGTTAACGTGCTCGGCTGCTAACCGAAAGATTGGAGGTCAGAGTCCACCCAGAGGTCCCTTGGAAGAAAGGCCTGGTTGATCTATTTCTGAAAAATCAGCTATTGAAAACTCTATAGAGCAGAGTTCTACTCTGACACACATGGGATCAGCATGAGTTAGAGTCGACTGGACGGCAACTGGTATACCTGCTGGATTGTGAGGAGTGCAGCAGGTAGATTCACCCCCTGTGGAATCTAGACTAGGAAAGGAACTGCTGTGCTGACCCCTTTGACTGTAAAGGAGAGGAAAGCTGTTCCCTCACCACATCCTGCACAGACACAGCCACACCTCTGGGCTATTTTAAGCCATCTATTTACCCGGAGGGGCCCAGGACACAGAGCTCCACAGCTATTGCTTGTGGCCAGGAAACACTGAGGGCTCTGCCTCCCACCCGAACTGCTCTTAGAGCGCCCTAAAGCTGTGCCTGTTTTCTGAGCTGTGGGACTTGGGAAGCCTTTGGCCCTCACTGCCTTGCAGATGAAGATAGGTGGAGATCCGTTTGGGAAACCTGGGACCCAGAACAAGTAAGAGACCAGTGGAAAGAATAACTTGGCTGGAAGCCAGGAGACCTCCCACTTACTGGTTGTGTGGTCTTGATAAGTTGCTCAAACTCCCTGATACTCAGTTTTCCCACCTATAAACCAAAACACCAAACCCATGCCTGTCGAGTCAATTCCTACTCATAGTGACCTTATAGGACAAAATAGTACTGCCCCATAGGGTTTCCCAGGCTATAAATCTTTATGGGAGCAGACTGCCACATCTTTCTTCCTCCGAGCGGCTGATGGGTTTGAACAGCCTACCTTTCAGTGGAGGGCTTAACCGCTGTGCCAAATAGGCAATACTATATCTCCCTTTCCTACGATAGTCCTAAGAGTTGAATGAGCTCATGCATGTGATTTATAAAGCCTTTGACTAGTGTAATAGAATATTTACCCTTGAGGACCAACCACCCTGAGACTCCAAAGCATGTTCAACTCAGTAAACACCATTTACTTCATTCCTGACCTCCCCTGCTCCATTGCTGGAGGGATCACAGCACTGTGCAAAGTGGAGTGTGGGTGTGTGTGACCAAGGACAACATGGACCAGCATGCTCAGGTGTTAGAAAAAGGATCTCCTAGCACTGGAATTGAGGGACTCTCTTGGCCCGGCTGCCCTAGGCTTTCCCTGTGTCTGTATTAATCTGTGTCCAGCTGCTCTTAATCCTGAGATGGGGGTGAGATTAGGCAGGTGGGCATGGGCAAATGGAAGTTCAGGGGCCTGCTCAGGATACATTTCCCTTTGGTTTTCTTAGAAATCAGCAAAGAGAAGGGTCCCAGACAGAGCTGGAGAAAAATGTAGAACAAAATTCTAACTCACAAAAAAGACCAGACTTACTGGTTTGGCAGAGATTGGAGAAACCCCAAGAGTATGGCCCCCGGACACCCTTTTAGCACAGTAATGAAGTCACTCCTGAAGTTCATCCTTCAGCCAAAGATTAGACAGGTCCATAAAACAAAATGAGACTAAAGGAGCACACCAGCCCAGGGGCAAGGACGAGAAGGCAGGAGGGGGCAGGAACCCAAGGTCGAGAAGGGGAGAGTGTTGACATGTCGTGGGGGTGGTAACCAATGTCACAGAACAATGTGTATACTAACTGTTTAATGAGAAGATAGTTTGTTCTATAAACCTTCATCTAAAGTACAATTTAAAAAAAAAGAATACTTATGATTTACGTAAGGGTTGGGG